AAATTGTCAGTGATAAATAATAATTACTGTTATAAATAATCCATTTTAAGATTGTTATAAATTGATTAGTTACTAAATTGTAAATAAATTAAACCACGTAATTGAATTTACGTTACAGTAAAGGACAAGCCATGAAGAAACTCTTTTATAAGTGTTTTTGAATTTCTTAAAAGTTTTCATTGTAAATAGCCTTTAAGGGCAATTGATAAAATTTCCAACAGTCGTACGGAAGCTTTTAAAAGATTCTCTCCTCTTTTTAAGACCTCTGCATTTAAGATCTGTTGATTATTAAGTATTAAGTGCTCTCAAAAAGATTCGAGAACTTTTAAAGTCAAACCAGTTAAGTCACCAACAGTTTTCAAGTTTTCAAGAGAGAGAATCAAATACTCGTATATAGGTAGGTGTTCATTATGTTTTCAGAACTGTTTTTATTTTTCAAATCCGATCAGTAGTTCTAGAGAAAACTCGATTTAAATGGATTTGCAGAGCCGTTTTAAATGCTTATTAAGTAGGCGTTGAAGTTGAAATAATTGAGAGCTTGTGTCAGAAAAAGACATCTGACATAAGTGCACAAGCAAGGAAGCGAATTTGTGAAGGCAGAATTGCCATTAAAAAAATCGAAACAATTTCCACCCTTTGCGCTATAGTGTAAACCGTCATTGTTTTTGAATTTACCACAAAATTAAACAATAAGTTAATTTAACACACTCACAAATTCGCTTCATTGTTTGTGCACTTATGCACTTTAAGTCAGACCTTCTCTTCTGAGACAAGCTTTCAATTATTTCAACTTCAACGCCTACTTAATAAACATTTAAAACGGCTCTGCAAATCCATTTAAATCGAGTTTTCTCTGGATTTGAAAAATAAAAACAGTTCTGAAAACATAACGAACATTCCTTTCGACCTATCTAACATTTACTACCCCTTCCCATTTAAAATTTTTGCGGTGCAATTCACCCCCTTCTCAGGGTTAAAGTTATGTAAGTAGTATTACTTAATTTAGTTGTCCCCCTCAAAACTAAAATTGACGTGTTCGAGCGTTTCTGGCAAAACTATCGTTAAGTGGGCAAAATCGGCATTGACTGTTTTCAGTAGGCCACCCTGTATATACTATGCGATCAAAAAAAAAAGTTTATTTTGATTTATTTTTTTGTCCACGAACAAACTCGTGCCGAACTACATTGGCCCCCCAGAAGATCCGCCCCCGGCATATTCGCCGCGGAAAATGTAACTTCAAAAAAGTTACGCCTAAAAATGTTATCACTGAAGATTCACCTTCGAAAAATTCGCCTGTGTTTGAAGATTTGCTCCCGAGAATTTCGCCCTTGTAGAATTCGCCGACGGGGTATCCGCCCTAAAAAAGTTGTCCCTGAAAATTTGTTCCCGAAAGATTCGATGATTTGCCGGACTGTATCTATTACCTTTGGCTTTTTCTCGTACAGAAATGTTTACTGCTCAGCAAGGGAGGTTTTTTTTGCTTTTTGTTCCATTAATTATTTATTTATTTATACTGTTTATATTTTTGGATATCATAAAAAACTTGTTGTTTTGTTTTGAAGATATATTCTTCGGTGTCCTAAACAAAATTTTCACCCTGTATTCGGAGGTTCTGTGGTCACCTGGAGTGTGGATTAGTTAAGACTTTGCTATAGTACTGTAACGGAAACGCTCCAGACATGACGTCGCCTTTGGCGCTCTGGAATTTTCTACGCGGGCGATAGTGGGATTTGTATAGGAATATTCCGGTAATTACGCGAATGTTCTGGACTTACATTGCTTGCGTGTATAAATGGTTGCGGACCGAACATCGCGGCAGTTTTACTACCGAACGAGATCGAGTACGTATGAAACATCGAGCGCGGAAATATAAATTGCGAAGTGTGTGATATAAATAATACCATAAGTACGCTGAAGCGCAACATCGATCGTGGTGAAGTTACATTGTTGTGTTTGTTAGATTTCTCTAAAGCCTTCGACACTGTTAATCACTCTACTTTAATTACAAAACTAACATCTAGGCGGGCTTCAAACTGGTTTAAAGACTACCTTTCTGATAGAAACCAACGAACGAAAATAGTGACTGATGGTAATATTTTGATTTCTGACTCCCTAAGCATTAAATGTGGTGTCCCGCAGGGTAGCATTTTAGGTCCCTTGCTATTCAATATATATGTTTCTGATCTTCCGATACATTAAATACCGTGACATACATCAGTATGCAGACGATATACAAGTTTTGAAAAATGTACCATTAAAGGGTCTCAATGAACATATTAATCAACTAAACTGTGACTTAATGGTTATTTATGAGTGGGCAACACTAAATAATCTTAAACTGAACCCTGCTAAAACTATAATCATCCCAGTCGGTACCAAAAAAGGCATACACAGATTTTTTCAAGAACAAATAACACAAACACAAGCTGTGAAAATAAATGGTGTCTGTGTAGAATTTGCAACCTCTGCGCGAGTCCTTGGTTTAACTCTGGATCGAACTTTAACCTGGGAACCTCACATTAAACTTATCTGCTCAAAATCACTATATAAACTGAGAACCTTATATAAGGCTAAAAATCTTTTGTGTACACACATTAAACTAAAGCTGGTAAAACAATTAATACTACCTCATTTAACATATGGTGATGTGTGTTATCAGGGACTCAAAAAACAATTGTCTTATAAAATACAAAAAACTCAAAATCACTGTTTACGTTTTGCGTGTAATCTTAAACGTAGTGATCATATACAACCTATACTGAAACATCATAATATGCTAAATATGAGAACTAATCGAATATACCACATGCTAAGACTTTTGCATAAAATCATTCTTAATCGAATACCGCTTTATCTCTACACAAACTTTCGGGCACTCAGTAGTTTCCATTGTTACGGTACTAGGACTTCAAATATTTATATTCCTAAGGCTCAGACAAGCATTGGAGCATCGTCCTTTTATATACAAGCGGCCAAATTGTGGAACAAGCTGCCAGAAGATGTTAGACACACCAGGTCCTGTAATGGTTTCGATCGCACGTGTTTTTGTTTGTTGCAGGACTCTGAACATGTTTTTTTGATGTTTAATGTGTAAATTTATACGTAGAGAGCTATTATGTTTTCGTTTTTCTTGTTATACTGTTTAACTCACTTTTTACTTTTTTTTTTTGTTATATTTACTTTGTATTTCATAATATTGTTAACTTGTTTTGTTATAAGTATCTGATGCGACCAAGTTTGTAGAGGGGGGATACTAATGGCCTTATGGCTTCTCCTATCCCTTAATAAATTTATATTATTATTATTATTATTATTATAATCGATATAAATTGTACGGTTTTTATAGTGTTTAGTTTTGTTTAATAAATATTGATATAAATCGAACCCGAATTTATAAATCACGTTACAGTACTATAATTGTCAATGACCCTTGGGAGCGGCATTTCCTTAGGCGGGAGTGACTCTTCCTGGGGTAAATCTTTCAAGGAATTTATGGGGGCTAATTTACCTGACAGGCAATTTTTGGAAACGGGTGGAATGAGAGTGGGGGTATTTGTCACAGAAATAGAAGGAACTATAGTAAGCTAAGCTAAGTGCGGACTATTTGAAATCGAATTTTTTCTTGTGAGGGCGAATAGTCTGTGGATATGCTTCCAAGAGCACATGAAAACAAATTCATTGAAAGGAAATTGGAGAAAATCGTCGAAATCCCGCAAATACATTCTAATACAGGTAAATGACAAGGTTTCTGTCACATCGTGGTAGATATACCCGCAGCATAACTGCCTGATGGTTGCTCATATGTACAGTCGGATACAGTAAGGCATTAGAAGTAACGTAAAAGTTTGAAAAGAGGTATCAATCTTACGGCGCGTTTAAGTCGTCTTACACATTGACTATTGAAGCCATTTAAAATGTGTAATATCGAATGCTTGAACCCTTGCATAATAAATAGTGGGTTCGAGACATAATTACTAGACACCCAATAACCAGTGAAACCGAACCTAACGTAAATACGCAGCGGGCCATAATAAAATATTGCCTAATGTCAGTAATTTGGACGTTAATAATATTTTTCACGTTGTGTAATGATACGAAGATACGGAAATGCAATGGCGCGTGTTTTGCAATCCTCCCCTTTGCTCGAGCAAAAGCCGTCTGTACAAAATCTCTATAGAGCTAAGCATGACAAAGATCTCGTACCCGCGAACCTTTTTCTTATTTATTGCCCGTTTCTCATTCTTTCAATTTGAAATATCAATTTAGGTTGGTTCGGGATCTGCATTTCCTGGATTCATTTTTGACTGCATTTTAACGTTGGTACAAGCATCCTTTTATATTACGTCTTACAATGAAATGCAGACTTGGGTTTGAAAGGACCAACTGTTACGTAAGAAAAAAGCAGGTCCAGGTGTTTTTATGGATCGAGCCAGCCCATAACGCACAAGATTTGCAGCGATGAAAGCCGCATAAAATTGCATAAGAATTGAAATGTATAGAGGAGTTTCTCCGCGCTTAATCGATTTTGGTTTTCTTTATGCAAAACAGAATTAATTATTAAAATTAAAGAACGTTCATTTTTACTGTTGATGCAATCAATCATTTCTCGATTGCGGCTTCAAATGTAAATTAGCAATAAATGAACAATCTTAAATAAAAACATAATTAGAGCCCCCGCGCCCTTTATAATGTCCCTGTTGTTGTAAACACTACCGGATGAATTTGTAGAGGCCCTTATAAATTTAATCAAGTACTACCACACAATAACACTTATATATAAAGGGGAAATCACAATGGTATTTGACTTTTTTGTTTTTCATGAGCATTTACGAAAAAAAATTTTTGATTGGGAACGTCGTTGCTCGACTGCGCCAAGAATGTTATACTTCATATGGCGACCTTAAAATAGCGGGGGGTGACGTAAGGGACCCCCAGACAACACGAGGACCGGCAGGGTACCCCCAGGTAAATCAACCGTATGTCAGACACTTGCTGGGCAAGTTCCATGTAACTTGGTGATGATTAAGGAAAGATTAAAACTCCGTTTTCGACTTTTTCGTGTATGTTTGTGCGTCGTGTGTATATTTTCGAAACGGAATCACGAAAATTGTTGGGATAATTTCGCAAATGTTAAAAAGGTAAGAGTTTACAATTAATTTGTATTTTTGAAAAAATTATAGTGACCGTAATTGCAATTACGTACTTGAACTTTTCGCACCCCCTCTAATTAGTAACACGCAAAGAATAAGCTTGGGAAATATAAAATTCAAGCGAAGTAAATATTTTACGCGAATGAATTTTAAAATTCCAATTGAGATTTAAACAATTTAGGATGGATTTGGAAACAATCCTTAGTAAATTTTCATTAGAGCTTTAACAATACTTAACAACAAATAAAAAGGATACCTATATGTTCAGACTATCTTTTTCCTGTTATCAGATTATACTGAACTGTTGCATTAGAAATTAAACCGACCTGCTCATGTTGCTTAAATACGTAATTTGAAAACGACAACAAGAAGAAAATAATATGCACGTCTAGCCTACAGAGGGTATCTATCTATACGCATATATATGTATATTCATCTATTGTAAAACTGTATTCAATTACTCAAATGATTAGAGGCGTGTTTTGCAAAGGAGTGTAGTACATCTCTTCGAAATCAGTTTACTCTTGTGGTCATAATGTGAAACTAAAAACACGGCCTAAACGATTGTAGGATAATTCGCCTTGGTAACGCATTCGAAAATGCTCCCCCAGGAATACTCCACCGGAATATTTGTACCTGGAGAATTCGCCCCGAAAAGTTAACTCTGAATTACATACAAGATACAGCGAGAGGCACAACAAATACTGAAAATTTGTTTATTTTAACGCATTTTAGGAGACCTCGATTTCTTTCAATGCATGACAATTGCCACTATTTAATAATAATAGTAATAGTCATATAATATGCTGTAACTAATATTCAGTAAATAATTTAATGAATAGAAAAAGGTATGTTAGATCAAAGGGGCGAAATTTCAAACTAGTGGGCACACTGTCTATTTACCACTTAACCCCATTCTGGTTTTATCTAGCTTTTAATACTTGACCACACTTAAATAGCGCTTAAATAGGTAATTCATTACCTTTTATTTTTCCTAAAGTTTCAAGTACCCATCAGAGGTTTCCCGTATTTCATCAGAATTTCCTTTTATTTCCTCACCACTTTTTCACATCTCCCACAATATTTTCATCATTTAAGGTTTTAGTCTCAGTTGTGTTTTAAAGAGGACTAAATTTCAGCATTGATGATTTATCGAATTTCAGCCAAGAATGTATACGTTTCTTATGTTTCATGAGAATTCCACTTACTTCCCATTGTATTTTCCGACCATTCCTAGCCATTTCCCCAGAATTTCTCCAATTTACATACAAAATAAAATAGAGAGTCGATTATCCGAACCAGTTGGGTATTGGGGGTATTCGCATATAACTGATTTTTCAGATAATCGGTTATTGCGGAAAAAATGAAATGCAATAACATAAATTTGATTAATTAAAATTCAAATTTATTTTTACAATAAGTACCAAACTTAAAACCGGACTACACGTCAGAATATGTAAGTACTCGTATGTACGTACAGAAAAAAGTCCAAAATAGATTTTTCCTTAGTCCATCAGAGACTCGTTTCTTTATTGTTAAATCTCGGAATTTTCCTTTCGCCATTCAAAGTTTTTCTTTTTCCTAAACGCGAATTTTTATGCAAAGGTCCGATTCGAAACTGACTTTAATGCAAATATGTAAGAGAAAGATGGGTTTGTATTCATTCTTAGAAAGTATATCTTATCATAGTAGTTTATAAAAAACGCATTACTTTCAAAATAACCTGAAAAAAATTTTTTACAGGAGGCAAAGATTTTGTTTACTGCATGAAAATTGCCGCTATACTTATACCCACAAATTCCTTAATTTTATTCTATACATATAGTCGCCCACCCCCTACTTTCGAGAAAATGATAGAATCATTTCGTGTAACAATTGAGTCACAAGTGGTGTTACCATATTTCGACCCCGCTGAATCCGATTATGCCTGTTCCCAAGCCTGACAATGGACCGGAAGGGAGATATTTAAGATGGTGTGGTGGCGGTTTTTGGACCACCCTGGCGTATTCCCCGTCTAAAATGCCAGATTTTTACAGTTTAATGGCCTGGACTCACGTTTTTGGGGTCAAGAAATATATATCTATATCATATATTATAGCTCGGCCTGAAGATGACTACACCTGGTCGAAATCGATAGCCACAAAAAAATATAAAAAACGTCTATCAAGTGTCTATTTCGTTCCCATTTTTTATTTATTTATATATTATATATATATATATATATATATTATATATTTATATATTTATTTAATCCAATAAAGCGCTATCTTGGAATCAAACCATAGTTCATATCTTTCACCGTTAAGCGAGCAATTTTTCATTGCTCTTATTTAAAGGAGCTATACTCTACTATGTTTAGAGACCATAAAACTACATTCTCCACACATCCATATAATAGGCTTTAGGTGTGGCATTCACGAATATGGGCAATTCTATTTCATCGCTTGGATTTTCAATCAAATAACGTTTGATATAGCTCTTTTATTCTGGAAAAAGTTAGACCAATTCAAATATTTGGCGCCATTTCGGTCGAAATATGAGAAATCGCACTTCTACCATATCTGACCATCTTTTTCCATTCCATTGTGTTCCTTGTCCCAAAGCCTATGTCCGCATACCAGAATGTAAAAATTCGGAGCACTCCGAAAACAGGTAAAAAATCGGAATTTCTAGCACCATTTTGTTCCTTAGCCCCAAAAACGTGGGGCTAGACGCTTGAACTGTAAACATCGGGCATTTTACACGAAGAATACGCCAGGGTGGTCCAACAACCGCCTTATTAGGATGCAATCTTAAATATCTCCCTTCTGATCCACTTTCCGACTTGGCAACAGGCAGAATCGGATTCAGCCGGGTCGAAATATGGGGAAACCACTTGTAACTCAATTGTTACACGAGATGCTTCTTGCATGAGCAAGGAGCGAGCTTTTACTGAAAAAGGGTCCTGACTAACAAAGTAGTTAAAAGTAATTCACTAAAATTGCCCTTTATTTTCCTAAAGTTTCTTCCTTATTTACCCAGAAATTTCTGGTTCGTATTTCCTCAAACCTCCTTCAAACTTATAATTGTTTAAAATTATATTTTTAAGTGAACTGGATTTCAAGATTCATTTTATCGTAGAATTTTTCTTAATTCGCATTGAGTTACCTAACCATCCCGTGGTTTTTCTACAATGTATATACGAAATAATGAGCAATATTTCCTCAATTTTCCTCATCTACATAATTTCTTTGTAGTTTCCGAGAATGTTGCTTCATTTCCTAAAAATTTCTGTATATTTTCCGATATTTTTTTCAGATTTCCCCTTCCTTCAAAATTTAATTATTAATTTTAATATTGCATCGGTTTGAAAATGCTCTTACATTTCCCCCTCCAAATATATCTTACAGTTTCTATTTTATCGAAAACTACCATTTACGCCTCCTACTCAACCCACGATACAAACATAGAGATTGTGTAACCCAAGCTAGAGCTAGCTAGTGAAACTGGGTTGCACAGGCCGGTTTTTCTCACGCACTTCCACTTAATTTCAGTTGGTCATAATAAGTAATACCTACTATTTACTTAATGACCTTTTATTTTTTTAAAATTTCATACCAGAATTTTAATGTGGCTCCTCGGGTTTTTCCTTTGCTTCCTCAAAATTTCCTTCTATATTCCGACATTTTCCTCATTCCTCACAATTTTTTATTATTGGTGGAAAAGTATTTAAATTCTACCAGAATGTCCTTTAAAATCACTACTACTACCCCATCCTTTTATAAGATTTTTCACTTATACTTTTCTTTTAAGACGGATCACATTTAGTTTTGCACCTAGTACGCTCCACACCCTTTTTTTCGATTTTGGAGTTTAATTTTTTATGATATTGGAAGATATTGTACGATCCACAAATAAGTTGCGCTGGTAAACAGTACGGTGATAGATTTCATTCCATACGAGTCACCTCATATCGTGTTCTTTTGATTCGTTTTATGTTTTATTCAAGCTACTGTTCCAACAATACAATGGCCTGTTTTCAACAGACTGTTAGTGCTTCAATTCCTGCATATAAATCTTTCCTTGTGGCAAATGCGCGATGCGGTTCCAGATGCATGGGAAGCCGACGGAGAGGAATCTTGGGAAAATATATCTTCATCACTGTAGTTTATTAAAAAAAAATAGAGTAAATGGTATACCAAAATTTGTTTATTTTAGCGAATTTTTACAAGAGATCTGCCACGACAAGGATTTCCTTCACTCCATGCAAATTGCCACTATTTCCCTTAAAATCAATTAATTTGTTAAAATTGTATTATATTGTTTCTAAAGTTTCCTATTAATTTAGCCATAGGTTCCTCTTATTTTTCGCATTTCCTACAATATCTTCATCCCTCAAATTTTTAATTTATGATTTTATAATTTTAATGGTATTTTTAAGCGGGGCTCCTTCATGATTTACCGGATTCACTAGAATTTTTCTTAATTCGGAGTGTTTCAATTATACTTAGATATTTTCTCAGAATGTCTAGAATCAATATACTAAATAAATGACTCAATTTTCCTCTTCTACCTACTTTCCTTGTATTTCCTGAAAATTTTTCCTTTTGCTTTCTCAAAATGTCTGATAATTTGTCACATTCCTCCTTCTCAAATTTAATTTTGAATTTTAGTTACTCGTTTCAGTCAATTTTGTAAATTATCCTTGTATTTCCCCTCTCAATCGTCTACCTAGATATACAAGGTGTCCCGTTAGGAAACGGACAACATTTTACTACGTGCTCCTTAGGTGAATTCGAGTCGAAAATGTCATATGAACATGGTCCCGCAAATGTATTCATATACTAGCTGAGTTATGTTTTAAATCCCTTAGTTTAGTTACTTTTCAATTGTAAATTAGTTTCTTGAAATTACCTTTACTCTTGTACATTGCCGTGCTGTATCGACAACTGGTTTTCAAACCAAAATTTTGCTTGACCTTTGACGTCATTTGGATTATTGTTTCTTAT